ACGTATATTTTATTATACGTATATTTAACAAAGATTATGAAAAATTATAGATTCATAAAATATTGTATTATTTTTAAAGTAATACAAAAAATTTGGAAGCGATCTGGATTAAAAATTATTTTAATAAAAAGCAGACATGTTTTTAAAAAATAATTAAAATAAGATGGAAAAAATGTTTTATTTAAACTATGAAACTCTGTATTGTTAAATACAAATATTGACCTTATTGAACTCTTTCATATGTTTGTAAAATATTCACTTTTTTGTAACAAAAAAATATAAATTTTCAATTCCAGTAATTTTTACTAGAGACTATACACCCAATTCTTAATACTCTTATAAATTAAATACTGAATAGTAATTACTTATTTTGGATATTAAAAGCACTGAACAACAGTACTTTTAATATTCAAAATAAATAATTAATCACTACCAATTATTTTATTTATATATGAGGGAAGTTTTTAAATGTCGGCAGAGATATTATGAATTTAAAAATGAAAAGAAAAATATAGCATTCTTTTTAGTTCTCGTAGGCATTAATGATCCACTGTAAAGAATCCTCTATACGTATCAGCGCCTGCATCCGATTTACGTTTCACGAATACGAAATGCACAGCACGGGAATGACAATCGAGTGCCTCCGCGTGCGGAGTGAAGAGGAGCCCATCAGGATGCCACGCGCGTGTGTTCGTGCACGACACGCCGCGTGTCGTTCCACCCGCCTGGCTGCCCCGATTTTATCGTTCCGGGGGCTCTTATAACCTCTAAATGTTTTCGTCGCCTCTATCAGATCGCGGCGCCGGGGACAGAGATCGCTCTTCTCTTCGCCGGCGAGGGAACCATGCGAAAGATTCAAATAACGATAGAGCGGCGAAAGAAGCGTTGGTAAAAAGTGTCGATGACACGACGGCGCACTTTATTTCCAATTAGTTTGTGCTATCATCATCGTTTTTATTCGCGAGCGGTATACATTAATAAATTAAACAAAATTCGATTTTACCAGCGGTAGAACATGTACTTTGGAATAAAAAATATTAGTAGTAAAATTATTTATAATTTAATTTATATCAAAGTTTTAATACATCGAAGTTAATAATATTTAATTTAGTATCGCTTCTCTTTCATAATCAAATTACTGAAACTTGAATAATACTCAAGTTACAAAGAATTTCAAAGGAAGTAAGAGTTTTTCAGACTAAATCTTTAGGGTATAAAGAATGATAGTGTTAATTTTTTTTTAATTCACGTAGACTTCTACTGCGTGCATTTATCGATAGAATTTGCTAATTGCAAGAAGGACTTGCGAAATGAAATTGGCACGCGCTACTTTCCATGTTTGCCAGGATTCAAGAACTGCAGAAGGGTCTCTTAACGACATGTCGTATTTATCCGCGGCTTTCCGCCTCCCAGACATCCGTTCCATTAAGCCGACGCATCTACCAAGCGCCTCGACGGGATCGCCGGGATCCAGGATCGCATTCTCCGAGCTGAAACGAACCGCACGCGTGACGGTATGCGTAATAATAGTAAAACTGAATGAATCTACCTCACAGTCGCCTCCAAGACGCGCTCGTGCTTTTCGAGAATGCGAGGATGGTGGCCAAGAGGTAGAGTGGCGAAGAGGGAGGGTTTGCTGCCGCTCAACGTCGAGTTGGCCCGGGGTAAAAACCCGAACTCGCGGGGAAAGGAAGGGCTGGAGAGGCTGCTGGTGTCCGTTGGTCGAGGTGGGGGACCGAGGGGGTGGGTGGGTCAGGTAAGATCAAAGAGACCGCCGTGAGAAGTGGTCCGGCTGCCCGAGATTCTTGTCTGCTGGGACGCTGGAAGTCTCTCTCTCCCTCTCCCTTTCCTTCTCTCTCTCTCTCTCTCTCTCTCTCTCTCTCTCTCTCTCTCTCTCTCTCCTGCTCGCTCACTCGGAAGAATTTTACTATCGTGGTATACTATCCTTCTGAATTGCATCGCTGAATGTGGATCTCAATGTGATGGACGATATAAGGAATTCGATGGCGGAAGTTGATTGACCATTATGAGATAGACGTAAATACTGAGTCTGTGTTGCATAACTTGAATTTACAAGTTTGATTCATTCTGAATTTTATTACTAAAACTTTAGATATATCAGTTATGTATGTAATAGATAAAATTTCATATTATAAAGAAAAAGTAACATACTGAACGATAAATAATTTGCTTAGAATTGCCCAGACATATTATTTAGGTATTAGAATTATTACACTTACAGTGATATTTCGAATTGGAATGATAATTACTCTTAGCTTGGTTTATAATGTATAAACATTAATTTATTTGATGTTAAAATAAGATCTTAAATTTGCTGTCATAAATTGACGAACATTTTGTTAAATAAATCATTAAGTCATAAAATGCTTTTCTTCTAATGAAAACATTGTATTTTATTTCTTTAGTTTATTTACACGACAATTCTCTATATTAATTTATCATATATATTATAATTTTTCAATAATTAATCTAATGAAAAAGAACGTATTTTTGATTCAACATTAATAGATCAATTTTTAAGCTCTTAGAATGTACTTTCTCTCTCTCTCTCTCTCTCTCTCTCTCTCTCTCTCTCTCTCTCTCTTTCTTTCTTTCTCTCTCTCTCTCTCTCTCCCTCTTTTTCTTTCTCTTACAAATCTAAAAAGAAATACTTATTATTCGTGAGCATGAACGGCAGATAAAAGAACTGGTGGTCCGACGATAGAGAAAGAGAGACACGCAACAGAAGGAGGAAGCGGCAGCAGAAGGTAGATCGGGAGAAGGAGTATGTGGAAAAAAAGGTGAAAAGGGGCGGGAAAGAGAGGAAGAGAAAGCCGGTAGGTCGGCGATGGAGTGTTGGTACCATTAGCGCAGATGCCTGTTCGTATGCGGTCAGGGTCCTTTTATCCCGCACAGAGATTCCTGCGGGATTCCTGCGTTCGTTATCATCGCGTGCAGCATTCGCTGAACGTTGAAACGGTGGAAGGCAGAGATGCAGGAAGAAAGAACGCGAGAAAAAGGAGAAGAGGCGAGAAGGGGGGAG